CAGGGATGTCTTTGGTTGTTGAACAATAAAATCGCATTGATATATGAAAAGGTTGTTGAAATAATGTCAAGAAATTCATTATAAAGAACGACGATTACATCGTGTTGCCACTGAGTCCTCGAGAAATAAGTTATTCGCGATTGTAAAAACCTATCCATATTTATGTAGTTATCGTACCAACAATTTGTACAACTTTGCAAAATGTAAGTTTTCTACTCTCAGTTAAGCAGATATTTTTCCCTAAAGGAAAATATTTTTTCGCCTTTCATTTAATATAATGATTATATATTAACGTGCTTCGGAGTTCGGATGAGTTAAGCTGTCTTTAAGTTTTTATTTTGCCATAACAGCAAATGCATAGACTAACTGACTCGATTGAGTTGTTGGCAGTAAATGCTTTAAAAGTTTTACTAATAATCAATCATTCTATGACCACATATTTATTTTTGCCCCAAGTCGAACTGCTAAACACACTTACGGTTACCACTGCTGCTACTATTATTAAAGATGTAAAGAGAAAGTCTCGGCGTTAATGCAAAGCAAAAAAAAAAAGAAAAAAAAAACGAAAAGAAAAGAAAACAGAAAAAAAAACTAGTAAAATATTTTGAACGTTTTATACGTCCATTGCAAACAATATAGAGATTATTCAGTAAATGTTGAAATGCTTGCATTTCTCGTAACCAAGCGCTCCATTGTTTGTTACAGTTAAACAAAGTAATTTAATATGTTTTTCATTTCATCACTGATTACTGGTTCTGTGTTTAGACAAAAACGCCTCGTGATGTAATTTGCATTTTTTCACAATTAACAGATTGAAATTTTATTAATTTTGTTAACGCGTTTGCAACATTTCAGCATATGCTTTACGTATGAAAAGCAAAAGTGTCCTCCGATGCTTGTCAATAGGTTCTACTGCTTGTCGCCAAGGAAAATATAAAAATTTTAGTTGAAAAATTAAAATTTAAAACGCACAGGCAACGTTCGCCATTTCAATAAATTTGTTCTAATGTAAAGTTAGAGTTATACCGTCGTCAACACCTCTTTAAAGACAGAAGTAGTTTCAGGGGAGTATAACGCAGGTGCCTGCCGGAAAGGCTCAACCCTGCGGTGCCCGCTGGCACACGGAGTGAAACGTCACTCACGTCCCACAGGGAGCAGGGAGGCTCCTTGCAGTTCCAGATCAAGGACATGTGCACGGCATGCCCTTCCTACTGGCGGAGGCGAGGCCTACCTAACACCTCAAATATTTAATGTTCCCGCGATATTGGGGGCAACCACAGACACCACGAGACTCTCCTAGGGGCCGTCCCAAAGACAAACAACTTCGAAAAGAATAATATCATAATATCTTCAAACGCTAGTACCGCGCAGATGAGAACTGGGGACTACCCAGTCGGTATTCGCGGATTCAACTCTCAAGGCGGTAGAGTCTACATTATTTGTAGTTACAGTGAGTCCGTGAAGGTGTATTTATTGATTGGATGCACGTCCGCTAGGCTATGGCCGCTACCCCTTCTCTTGCTCTTTCCTCACCTGGCCACCGTGTTACGCAAACAAGCGGCATCTCCTGAGCGGTTGGTCGTAAAAAAAGAAAAGATGGTAGATTGCAACCTTGGGTTTTGTGAGCAAATAATCGCCAACGCTGTTTAGAAATTTTTATTCGAAGCCTGTACGTGCACAGTTGCCATGTACACGTTCTTTGCACGTTGGGTGCCTCAGAAATCGTATTAAGGCGAACATAATTTCATCTTTTTTTTTTGCCTTTCTTTCTGCTCATTTCCACGCAAAGAAATCCTTTTTGTTTTTAACATTTCTTTTTTTTTCACTGGTTTTGGTAATGCGAGAGGATTTAAATAACTTAAGTTTGTTTTTGGTTTGTGCTCGTTTTGACTTTATTATCTTGTGTTTATACATGTTCAGTCAATTTTCTTTTTCCGGTTATTTAGCGGATTTGTATTTTTATCCTTTGTCTCTTCGTTAGATTGCACAGTAGTTAAATTCATTTTTCACTTAAATAATTGCTATTCATAAGTCATTCAATGATTTCAATTTGCGTTGCGTTAGAGAAAGTTTTGTCTATGGCTTTTCAAGGATTACTGAATATTGAAAATATTTCAAATAATGAATAGAATAAAAAAAAAAAAAAGAAGAAAGCAAATTGTTATATATACACACAAACACACGCACACATAATGAAGTGTCGGAAACTGTAAACACGAGAAAAACACTTTTTTTTTTGGTAATTTATGAAAATTTGTATGATCCTCTTTAAAAGAAAGCGATAGAGAGAGGGAGAGGAGAGAGAGAGAGTAAAGAGTTTTTAAATAACATTACATTTAAATACAAAATTCTTTTCTTGAATGCTAATGCTTGATTGCCTGCCCACAAAAGTAAATTCTCATTGCAATGAGGGTACGAATCGTAACGGCTTTCAAGCCATCAAGCTGATGATGATTTAACTTGATTTCAGGGAAAAAAGCTCAACGCCAAACCTTGGCGGTCTGTTTATGTGATTATTTTTAAAGAGTACACAAATCTTTTTTTTTTAATTTTTTTTTTTTTTTAGTATGGTGACGGTGATTATATGGGTCGTACGTGCAACACAGTGCCGGTTTGAAGGGAGCGATGAAAGCGAAAGAGAGGGAGCCTAGTGAATGCATGCTTTTACTGACTGAGCATTCACTATAGCTACGGTTAAAATGAACTTTACGGCACTGGGATTTGAGTATGCGATCATTAACTTGGTAGTAGTGATTCGTACCTATTCGGCTACTCGCGTAGAATGCACATTTCTCCCAATAAATTAATTGTCTCAAGGAGATAGTCTAATTCGCACCAGAATAAGTCAATTTATATAATTTCGGTTTATAAAGCACACTATGTTGTTGTTGTTTTGTGCTTGTAGGTTCTATGAAGAAAAGGAAATGAATTTGCTTTACTTCACGACCGACAGACTTTTCTTATCGAAGTAACAGTCCATCAAATTAAAACGACCTTTTTCCCAAGTACACGATAGGATAGGTTGCCTAAGTTCTAATACTCTCTGTGTGCTGTGCAAACGTGTGGTTTTTCAAATTGTTTGGGTCGAAGAGTACTGAACATAAATCTTAATTTCAGGGGAATTTAAAAAAAAAAAACATAAATATAAATACAGCTCTATAAATATATAGACAATCTGAACTAATATCGTTTTAACACAGAATTTTGCCATTAGGAGATCCTTCTTTGAATTTCCTTAATGATATCCAAAAAATTCAACTGCTTTCTACGAAATAGTGAGCTGAGTTTTGAGAAATCTATATTCGGGAACAATGTGCCCGATCCTTTATGATGGTTCAGGCGCTGAGTTCCTAATCTTTGAATGTCAAATTTTTTCCAAGGGCTCACAGGCACATATTATTTAAACCGTTTTAAGTGAGCATGTCAACGGACGGAAATTGTTACTAAAGAGATTAAATTGCTTAAATTTATGCCCATGCTTAGGCTTAATTCATTTTTCTCTTAATTTCATGGTAGAACCTTAAAGATGTCTTTCCCTGCATGTGAATCAAATGTTATTCAGTGTAGATTGAAAGTACTTCAAGCCAATCGCTTAGAAACTTTTTTAGAATTTATTTCATTTACTAATAACTTCCTATCTGTTATTAAGGCGTTCTACATCTGAATGTACTTTGCCGGTATCGGATTGTTCACTTGCCTTAACTTAGAATTGTGTGCACGAGTTCTTCAATTTAATTAAAAACAATTGTTCACATGAGAAAAGGAATATAAGGAGCTATTATTTTTTAGGGAAGAATTCATTTACAAGCGGCGAGTTCTGTATATTTGCCTGGAAGTAGACGTTCCACCAGACAAATTTATTATCAAATTAGTTAGCTATGGATAAACTTAGAACTTTGTTGGCTTCTATTAAACGCAACGGAGAATGTCGAACATTGTGTTTTCTCGTAAAATGTTGATGAATAAGGAGGTACACTGTTAAATGAGAGGAGAGAGTATTTACTTCCGTTTTGTTATCCATCTCTAGGTCAAATTCGCATCGCAAACGATGAAGGTTATCAGGATTTGTTGTTCTTTGACCTGACTGTGGACTGTCGCCCAAAAGTGCGCGATCACCGATCAGATCAGTAAAAGTTTTAGCGACACTCAAAATTTATTCTTAGCTTTTTGCTGCAACATGCTTTTGTGGCAAACTTAATGAAAGGCGATATCACTTTGTGGTACAACTTCGTGATCCGTTGATCGGTTTTAAGGCTGACGAATTTCTTTGTAGAAGAAATTCACACACTTTTAGGTTAAGTATTAGTGTAGCGATTTTCGTTGCTTTTCCGGCCCGTGTTGTGCACATAAAGTGTAGCATTTTAAAAAGTATACGTTTTGCACTATTTGTAGGCAGAGCAGACCGTAAGCCGTCTAAGCCCAATGTTCTCGATTAACAGATTCACCGCCCTTCTTGTATAAAGACCACAATTTAAGAGCCTTCTGTCGTCATCGTGCTTGTTATAAGTGACACCTTAATGAGTGCAAGTAAACGAGTTGTGAAGCTTTAGAACGAATCTCAAATCTCCTATCAACCATTAACTAAGTAATGATTTAAAATTCTGCCCTGCATTTCGAATGTAGTCGTGAAAAAGTTTCGATGGGCATGCTTTTTATGAGCCTAATATATCGAGTTCAATATATTGTCGCTAACTATTACGCATATTGCGAAAATTCTGTTAATTCTGATTTAGAATTAGAATCGAATAAACTCAAAGATTTATACTTAAGTATAAACAAGAAAAGTGTTAATTGAAATTCATGCTCAGAGTGTCTATTACAGCAGCGTAGCAGCATAGGCAGACTAAATATAAAACACAACAATTACAAATAGTAAAAGTGTGAGATAATAAGCAAAATATAAACTTAGTTTATTTCTATATGCGTCGCCGTTAAGATCAGTGTATTTTTTTGAAATTATTGAAAAGAAAAGCAAAATGTCAGTTAATAAAATATTTTATATGAGCGATAGTCATCAAGATGAAGAAGTGCAGGAAGAGGAAATTTTCAAAGAGAATGCCTACAATTTGCGTAGCACTTGCACGATGGATTTCGATGATATGTTAACGAGACTGGGTGAATTCGGTCGCTTCCAAAAGATATTATTTATCTCTATGATACCGTTTAGTTGCTTTTTGGCTTTTGTGTATTTTTCGCAAATTTTTCTCACTTTAATACCGGAGGACTATTGGTGTAATGTTCCTGACTTGGAGGGACTAACAATGGCAGAAAGGTGCTTGTATGAGATTAAGAAAAATTTCATTCACTTTGTAAATAAATTAAAATTTTGTTGTTGTTCTTGTTGTTGTAGATTATCTCTGGCCATACCAAAAATCGATGGCGAATATAGTAAATGTTTGGTTTACGATGTGAATTTTACCGAATTACTGTTAAATAACATCAGCTCCGCAAATGTTTCATGGCCTACGCGAACATGTTACGCTGGCTGGCATTACAATTACACGTACATACCTTACATATCGTTGGCGAGTGAGCGTGACTGGGTTTGCGAGCGAGCCGTGCTAGCCACTTATGCTCAGTCGTTATTTTTCTTGGGGGCTATAATGGGAGGTTTATTGTTTGGCTGGTGGGCTGATCGTTACGGTCGCATACCTTCTCTGATTGCCTGCAATTTAATGGGTTGTACAGCGGGAATTATCACGGCTTATGTACAAAACTTTTGGCAATTTGCTATTGTACGATTTCTAATGGGTTTCGCTTTCGATAATTGCTTTACTATGATGTATATATTGGGTAAGAGTGAAGATCAAAAAAGTGCTACAAAATCGGTGATACATGTATGCTTTGATTTTGTAACAGTTCTAGAATATGTAGGTCCGCGTTATAGGACCTTGGTTTTCAATCTATCATTTGCTTTGTTTTTTACCACTGCTGCATGCCTGTTGCCTTGGTTGGCTTATTATTTGGCCAATTGGCGTCTATTTGCCTTGATCACTTCAGCTCCCTTGATTTTGGCTATATTTACTTTCTTAATATTACCGGAATCAGCCAGGTGAGTGAATATCTAAATCGATTCAATCACATTAGCCTTATAATTGAAAATTGTCTCTACTCCTTATAGATGGCTTATATCACAGGGTCAAATTGAGACAGCAATTAAGATTTTACAGAAAATGGAAAAATCAAATGATTCGCAAATTCAACCGGAAGTTTATGAGCATTTCGCTCATTCATGCTTGAATTCACTGCAAGAAAACTACGATCATCATTATCGTTATTCGTTGTGGGATATTTTTAAAACTCCACGTCTTAGATGTAACTTTGCCCTAATGATTATCATCTGGTTATCGATTACCTTAATATTTGATGTTCACGTTCGTAATGTGAATTCGTTGGGTTTAAATGTTTTCCTTACATTCTCGTTATTATGTTTTACCGAATTGCCTGCCAACACGTTACTCGCTATTACTTTAGATAAACTTGGGCGACGTTGGTGGTTTTGTTTGAGTTTAATAACAAGCGGACTACTAAGTTTCTTCGCTTCTTCGGTTCCATTGGGTTTGTGCTCAGCTTCTTTGGCTGTGGCTGGTCGTTTTTTTGTTAACATTTCCTACAACGTGGGCTCTCAATATGCCGCTGAAATCTTGCCAACTGTGGTTAGAGCTCAGGGCTTAGCATTTATACATCTTATGGGTTATGTAGCCTTAATGGTAGCGCCATTTGTAGCATATTTGTCTAATATATCGGAGACGTTGCCTTTAGTTGTTTTAGGTTTCTTAGGTATTATATCCGGTTTGTTGTCATTGTTTCTACCGGAAACTTTAAATCATGATTTGCCAGAAACATTGCATGACGGTGAAGTATATGGTAAGAAGCAATAATTATTGGAATTTCTTCGTTTTCGAAAACAAAACTTATCTTCTCGCTTAGTTTGATAGATGACATGGAAATTGTTAGAAACGTAGTATGTTCCTATTCATCATTAGAATGAAAACTAAACGGTTTAGCCAGTAAGTACCACTTAAGCTGCAAATAAAACTTACTATCTATAATTGCGTAAAAATTGAAATAATGTGCTTAACGACAATCTTTAATGATATAATTATTGTATATTTATATATATATATGAGTAAGAAATAAAAACACTACAAATACTTACAACACTTCGTTTAATACAGTTATTCATGTAACGACTTTTCAAAGTGAGGTGTTGTGTAGGAGTAAAACGCGATGGTTTACCAAATTGCGTCAACATATATCAAAAATTACTACCTGTAGGTTGAACAAAAGACAACAACACGCACAGAAGGTCAGATCTACTTAGTTTCCGTTCAGAAAATGAATTTGATACGACCGGTATAATGAAAGGCGGGTCTATCCCTAGCTTCTCTACGTATTGCTTACGTTCGCAAAAGTGAAAATTTTTAGACCAATAAACAAAGGATGCAAGCGTAGTAAATTTTTATACCCATTACCAAAGGATGGAGGTAAAGGCATTTTGTCATAAGATTTGCCACACCCAAAAGAGAGCTTCAGAGGCCCTGTAAACTATGTATACTCTTCACCAGCTTTGTCATTTTTCATTGATTGAGCCACGTCTGTCTGTCTGTCCATTCATGTAGTGTGTGTTTTTCTCATCCTCCTGTTTGGAGTATGGACCATTTTGTGCATTCTTCCAAGGAAGCTATTTATTATCCGCCTAAAAATATGTTAATTCTAAAAAAAAAAAATACTGTGGACATAACGACGTGATGAATTAATTTTTCCATAATAATGTGGGCGTCACATGGACAAGAACATGGGGAGTAAAAGGCGACCAGGTAAATGTGTTCGTTCTAAATTAATTATGATGGGTGTCACGAAGTGATGGACTAATTTTTTTCTTCACAATGCCTTTTAGTGATCGTGAAAAGATAAATTTTATCCGAATAACTTCTTTATGACCATAAATGGAAGCATGGGACGCTAAAGATTTTAATGGTGGTGGGCATGCAAGGTTCAGCCTCAGCAGAATATAACTTTCTTGCTTGTTGTACGTTTATTCTATGAGTATCACTTAAACTAACACTTGAGTTAAGTATCCAATCGAATTCTTAATAAATTGCTTTGAGTTGACGGGCATTAAACATTCGTTATAAGATAAATGTAATTTTTTTTCATTAGCTTTGATTTGCCATAATGCGAATATTGTTTTTTTTTTTTCCAATTTGCCTAATCATTCAGAGCATCACCTCCGAAAGTAGAGAGGACATAAAAAGAGATAGTGGTTAGCCGTAGCGTAGTTGATCCATGCCATTAGCGTTGTATCTTTATCGAAATATAAAAGTCTATTGTCTGCTCATGCAGACCGAGAGGCTCTAAAACGCTCTTCTTGGATAAGCTATGCCCTTTGTGACAACTCTTGGGGATGATAGGAAAGACAGTTCAAAAATAGTATTCGAGGAGACCATTAAACGTATGCTTAGAAATAAAAGCAAAAATTTATTTTCAGCATCGGAATATCTTATGCATATGTAAGGCGCTCTGTAGCGTCCGATACAACTGATGTAAATATGAATCTAAAAAATGTCAACCTGCCTGTCTTTATTCGTTGGTTTTGAAAACATTGATTTTTAATTTTGAAAACTACGGTACGGCATTTAATCCATTTCGTTAGGGAACTCTGCATAAAAATTGATTCTTCACCTTAATTAAAATCTTACACTTAATTACTTTATATATATATGTATATATATTTATATATATATATATATGGAATTCATAAATATGATTTCTTTATTAAGTATAAAAATGGTATTAATTATGAGAGATAACCAGCAATTTTGTGAATTAATTGATTCGACCTAACTTTTAATGTTTTTGTCTTATTTTTATGATCTATCGCATTGATACGACAGCAGTTGTTTATACATTGTCATGTTTATAGGCAGAGAAAAATTCATCACTTAAAATATAGACCATAAAAACATGTACTAAGATAATAAAAAAAAAAAAAAGTAGAAAAGAAAGAAAAAAAAAAAAAAAAAAGAAATTGAAATGAATTTCTTTTAACTGCCGCAAACACTCATTATATGAATTTATTTAGCACTTAACAAAATGTTTTATTGCTAACATGGGTTCATATGCTAACTTGTCTGCTTCACCAGCTAACTAGCTTTGCTTGCTTACTTGCTGCCAACTATGCTTAAGTAGCATATAAAACGTTTCTGCATATTTATTGAAATGTTTTGTGAACAACGGGGCAGCCATGCACTTTACGAGTAATAATAAAAGGCAGGAGGCAAAAGAAAGACAGAGACAGAGACATAGAGAGAGAGAGAGAGAGAGAGAGAGAGAGAGAGAGAGAGAGAGAGACAGAGAGAAAGAGAAAGAGAAAGAAAGAATGGAATAAATGGATGATAGTTTAACTATGCGAAAGAAGGGAAAAGAAAGTGGGAGAGATTATGAAATTTTATGGCATTTACATCTACATGCTTGCACACATACTTGCTTAAATGCTAAGAAGTTAAAAAGATTGTTGTTCAGTTTGCTAAGGAACAGGACGCGAGTGGAGTGAAAGTCTTAGCAGCTCCAAAAGCAGTGGCAGCAGCAGCAGCAGCAGCAGGATGTGCATATTGAATAAATGTTTATGATTATGTTTGGTTTTATGTGATAGTGTTTTCCTCTCTTTTTTTTTTTTTTTCTTTTGCTGTTGTTGCTATTGCACCAAACAAAACAAATAAACATGTTAATTACTCTCTTTTCTCGATAATTGTTTTATGGCGTTATCTTCGCTTAAAGCGAAAAAGTAGGAAAATGCAAGGTGAGCGCGAGTATTCATACAGCGCGAAGGCCTTAACTTACACCGCCTTTAAATATTGACAAGCAATCGAGTCCCTTATTTTCTTGTTTTTTTTTTTTTCGAAAATTTCTTTGTTGAATAAAAACTGTTTATATAAGCAATAATTTTTTCCTTTTTATAATCTCAGCTTTTAAGCAACTGCTCTATAATAACTTTTCGCTATTATTGCCGCCGTTGCTGCTTATAGTTCATTTGCATGCCAAAGACTATACGGGACATATAAATAAACTTAAGCTTAAGTTCAGTTTTTGTTTTTCTTATTTGTTTTTACATCTTTTGTATTTTTAAGATATTATTGTTATGCTAGGGCTTGCATAGAATATGTTGCCTTTGGTATATTTGTCCCAGCTGTTGGACTGAAATAATATTAATTTTTATGTTTTACAGCTTTATGCATTGTTAGATTTCTTCCCCTTCCACAACAACAATAACGCGGGCGTTTAGTTACGCAGATATATATTTATATATGTATGTATATATCTTTATTGTATGAAAACATATGCCTAATAAGGCTTACTGGGTCTTGACTTATCCCAAAAATGCTGCCGTTCTCGTATGTAAGCGTACATTTGTGGATATGGTATGCAATTGCAGACAAAATGTTAAGTTGTAAGTGCGTGCGAGCATATATAAAAAGAAAAAAAAAAAATTATGCTATGTTTAAGTCGAATCTTTGGATACCTATTAGAAGCTTGTATTTGAAAATTTTTGTTGATTTCATTTTCTTTTAAAGACACATTCCCCGAAGTATATGCAAAGTAGCAAATTTATAGCATTATAAGTATAACATGCTAAATAAGCGTAAATAATATCATTACGAGAATCGTATATTTTATAATAAAACTCTAGCATAAACTCAAAGTGACTCATTCTGTGGAAAACGAAATCTCCTTAAAATATTTGGAAAGTAATAAAAGCACATAAGTAGTTTTGATGCTTGTCCCGACCGGTGTCTGCAACTTGGTGAATAAGAAAAATAAATCCAACAAATAAAAATATTAAAAGGAAACGAGTCCTAAAGATCTACAAGCACTTCCTTAAAACCTAAAGACTGGAATCGTAGCCTTTGGAAAGAGAACTTGGTCAGCGAATAAAACCCTAATCTCGGTAAATATCTGACTTTAAAGTTTTGTAAACAATTTCCGTAATTACTTTATATACTTATCTTAATAAAATTATTCACAAGCCGATGATACGAAAATAATCTGAGGAATATTAAGAAAAAAAAACCTATGACTGGAAACGAGGTTTCCCGTTAAATACGAACATGTTATCGTATATAAGCGTAACATTAGCGAATTCCCGAAGCATGGTAAGCGTAGCGGATTATATAATAAATAAAAATGTTCTGCATAATTTATATTCTTAACTACAGCACTGATTCTTATTCTGCAAAATTTTAAATCAAGAATAGTTATTGTATGCAAGGCTCTCATGGGCCACTTCCTAATGTTCTTCCTGTTTCTTTGCAAAGAAGATTTGCTTTTGCTTGTCGATGAAAAAAGAGTACAAGGAAAGAAAAATTCTCATGAAGTAGATGGTAAGCTGTTCTTGAAGAACAGTTTTATGCAAACTCAAAGGGTAGTCAGGTTTTCTTTTCCAAATCAAGCAAGCGTCCGTGGCGAAGCATCGGCATGAAATATGTTTTGTGGCGAAGCAGACATTAATTGTTCCCTTTCATCTCTCTATATGCACTCAGCTTTTTCGATTCGGCTTTAAGTGTTCGTTCAAGGTCAAGACTAGCCATAACGAACCTTTTTTTCAGTATCGAGAATAGCCGGCAATAAGGCGCAGCTAAAGCATGCGCTTAGGGTATAAGCTGAACTGGTGGTGAAAAAGTTTAGAAGAGTCAATACAGTGTAAGAAGGACATGCAAACATTCGTATCTCATAATTCTGGCCGCTTTTGGTCGTGAACACATTTGAACTCTGCGATCTTCAAGACGTAATCAAGCATCACACACGTAGCCACCATACATTGTTGGCATAACGAATTCAATATCGAATATACTGTCGAATAAATTTAAGACAATCAGGCAGACGTTGGCATATGTTAGTTTGATAAATTAAGGTTCAGGCGTAGTTCGTTAGCAAATGGTTTTAATGCAGTTAAAGAATTTTAGAAAAAAATGGCTTTTCTCAATTTAATATCGAGCGAAAT